AGATACAAATGACTTAAGACAGAAGTAGATAACTCCAGAACTTATCTGGAGTGTGCTACATATTGGTAACAGTGGTACAGAAAACTGAGATAATTATGATATAAGCATAAGGTCACAAATAAGCATCATATGTATTTTTTGTTAGATGGGTAGCCCTCTTGGTGAAAGGCTTTTGTATTAAAATTTTATACATATTAATGGGTGAAAAATAAATATCTGCTCATAAATTTCTTCATATAACTTCTTACTGAAATGGTATAAATAATTCTTATATTGACATATTTTTAATGTGTTCTGAAATATCACTTTTATTCAGTTTTTGTTTCATAATGAGTTGTCTTGTTCTAAGGAAAAAGTATAATTAACTTAAAAGATCTGTTAAGGAATGAGATGGAGGCAAAAATAATCTTAATCCTGGATATCAGATGTTTTCCCCAATAGTGAAAACACAGAATAAGTAATTTTTAGTACATTGAAATAGTTTTGAATATGCTGTACTACAGAAAATAGAAACAAGGCAGGTTTGACATTTCCTGTAATCTGTACCGACAGCTTATGTTTGGAAATACTCATCTACTATTTCAAATATTTTAGAAATTACACTTTAAGGAAAAATTAAATGCCTTTAGTAATCTCCATCTGTTTTCTTTATCTTTCTGCTTTCCTGTTGTCTGGCAGTCTCAGCTAATTTATATGCCTAATCTGTGAATTTCCATTCTTCTGCACAATGATGAGATTTAATGTTCAGGCTTGGACTGCTTTAGGTTGGAATACCTGTTATCCTCAAGCAGGTATTTGTAAAGTTTCAGACAACATTCAAGTTTACAGATTTGTAAAGCATAGCTTTTTCCCACATCCTGCAAACTGTTTTTCATTGTTTTTGTGCTTTTGCTATACTGGATGTCACATATATATCAAGAGCAGTGGAAATGCAGTATAACATTGAGAGGGATTGTTATGTTCAACTGAATTTAATAGTAAAATGTCCATTAATTTAAGTGGAAAATTATTAGTAAACAAAAACAAAATGGGACTGCACCAAACTAGACACACATTGGGAGAGTACCCATCTTGCAAAAGGGCTAAAATGAATCAGTTTTAAGAAGGAATCAGTCTGTTGTTTTCAAACTGAAATATAAAGATAATTTAGTAAATAAATACCATGCACAGACATTGTACAGATTTTTGAAAGGCAAATGCTGAAATTGATTTGCTAATGCAATCCATACTGCAGTGATACTCAGTATTCTGATGATGTAATATTTTCACTTTTAATAAAGTACCTCCCACCACAAAATAGAATATTTAAGAATCTTGTATTTAAGAAAGATAATTTTGCATCATTTATAGATTGATGCAATAAATTATTTTCTACAAAACCATCTTTATTTTTAGTATTCAAAAAGGTGTTTAAACTATCTTGTAATTACTTCAGTTGCATGATTAATTGCAAAACCGAGATAGTGGTAATTATACCGGTGAGTATAACTGAAGTGCCAAAACATATCTTAAGGCTTTTATATTTAGAGTTGTCCCTGTGAATTTTCCCGTAGTCATTCCAAAAGAAGGCGGAAGAATGATCTAGTTCCAGTTTTGCTAACTCTTAAGAAATTGTAACTTGCAAGTTAGAATTTATGATTCCAGGAGATGAAGGAAGTTAGAAATACGTGGACTTTGCAAATAATAATTATCTCTTTTCTGGTAAAATAGGAATTCTTTTTCTGATAGTATCACCTCTCCTACATAGTGGAAAAAAGGACCACTTTCCTAATTTATATCAAGAAGGAATGACAGAAGGCAGAGACCACATCAGGCTTGTGTCAGGGAAGCAAGTTCATGGGTTAAGTCAGCTGCTGCTGCTCCTCCTCCTCCTCCCCCTCCCTCCCCAGGACTGGCCCAGCAGAGTTGACTTAGTCCTGTTTTCTTTTGGGTATCAAAATGTTGCCAGAGACAGATAGAAGACTGGCTATTGCATGACCATTTCTGCTGACTTTCTAGCTTAGACTAGAGCAGAGCTCTCAAGAATCTGATCTGTCAGGTGGCTCACCTTTCCTCCTTCCTTTAGACAGCACAGAGGAACAGAGAAGTATGGAGCACATCTCATCCTTGCAAGAGCAAGGTAACATGAAAGTAGAAGAGGATTTTTAAAAGAAAAGAGAATGACTCAGTTGAAGAACTCCAGGATGCCCTGTTCTTAAGCCCTTCACTTGGGAAGAGCAAGGCATTGAGATACATGAAAGACCTAACAGGGCTTTTTCCGTTTTTTTCCTGGCTATAAAGGAACATCCACAGTTCCTGAAAGCATAGGAAGGTACATCAAGGGAGCCAAAAGATTAAAACAATTGTATCTACTTTTATCAAATAATTTGAGATTTTGTTTCTTGACAGTGGTTCCTCCATGTACAATGAGAACAGTTGATGGAAATTTATTTGTATTTTATTACTTTAGGGTACAGTCCAATCAAGTTGCCTGTAGGCCGTTCAAACTATGAGCATTAAGGTCATCCTAGGAAGAGCAGGAGAAGCAGCAGATGCAGTCTTTCTCTTAATGTTCCACCTACCCTTGTGGGGGAGGGGGGAAGGAGGCTACAGAGGACACAGAGTATGTCATACCTAGACTCTTCAGTTTCTTTCCCCAAATGCCCCCTTTAAGTCCTCTCTGAGGCTGAGATCCCAGCCTTGGACATAAAGCTCCCTTGGTGCTTTCCATGTGGACTGCAAGTGGTAGAGGAAGATCAGAGCATGAATTCCCAGCTCCAAGCTCTGTCTACAGTCTCAGATTTGTGAATCTAAAGTACTGTTTACTCCCCTAGATGCTGTCTAGGACCTGTAAGATCACTGCTTTAGATAGGCTGTTCAGGTGAGAAAACTCCTACAGTGACTTAAGTTAAACCAATACAATAAAAAAGAGAACAGCAGAGCAGTTAATTGCAATAAAAAGCAGCATTTCAGCCAAGTTCTAAAAAAATAGCACAGAGAAAATGCAATATTGAAGGACTTACACAGTTTTTTTTAAACCATCTCGTGCTGAAAATAAAGGAAGTTCCAGTGGGATGCTAAAACTGAAATGGCATTATATCTGCTCACCATTCACCTCACTTGATATGTTGAAAAGTCAAGGAGTAGACACACAAATATCTGGATGTAGAACACTAAATGAGTCCAAGATCCGAATAATTTTATTCTATTGACCTCTGAGAGTTCTCATGTCCTGGAGGAGACAGTTTACTCAGAACAACTTTTGGAATACACTGAAAGACCTTTGGTTATTGGAAGGTATAGAAATGCAATAAATAAAATCGAATTCTTACATTGCTTATCCTAAGGAATGTCAATGCAAGATGATATTTAAGAATGATTGTGCCACTGCCAGGGCATCTTCATATGCGACCAACCAGCTCTTGGCATAACAGGAGCTCTAACCATATAAAATAGTGTTAATTTGAGGAATTTTTCTGGTTTTGTCAGCTGCTAGAGATGGGTCATTCTAATCCTTTATCCTTTGGAGTGTAGATATTGTGACAAGCTTAATCCTTAATCAGAAATGTTGTGACAAGCCTAACTGCCAATTTGACATCCAGTTTGACATTCAATTTGAGAATGGAATCAAAGTTTTCCACTTCTGAACTACCATATCTCACCCAGAAGGGAATGTGAGAGCAGGATTTTTGACACTTTGGGACATCCCTTGGTTGTTATGACAGCCATGTTGAGCCACATTGACTAAGCAGATTCAGCATACTGTTGAAATCTTTCATGACCAATGTGAAACTGGGAATCCTTATCACTAGACCTGAGACCACCTTTCTCAGAGAGGAAGGCGGTTGTGTAGTACAGTGAGAACGAATCAACAATATACTCAGTCTGCTCTGATTGCCTGACACCAGGTACAAACACTTGAAATTGATTCCTATGTGATTCCAGGTCTGGAACAAATGGAATTTTATTAGTTTGAAGCATTTTAGCCCATTTTTCACCTAAAATCAGTTGCCCAAGGGGCTTACAAAGATCAGTAATATGAGTTCCTAATCTAAAAGATGCAAAGACAAAGGAAGAGGAGATTAGGACAGAGGACTAAAAGGGCAATTGCATGAACTAGTTTTGGTTACAGTTTTCACAGTGGCCAGATGAAATAGTACAAGAAGAGATTGTTTGTCTCTCAGCAGTACTAAGAATAGTCCTGCTTTGTGTCAACCCCTGACTGCAGCCTGCTAGAGCCTTTGCAGACCAGAGCAACTCTTCCACCTAACTATTGAGCCTCTCTTGCTGCACCAAGAACTCAGGCCCTACTACAAGAGAGCCACCTCGCCCAACTCATCCACTCATCAGTGCATTCATTTATTCATCCAGGATAAAATCCTGGGTATTTGATGCTGTATTGTGGGATCACCTGGCTTTTAATGGCAGTATTACAAATCTGAATGGCTTGAAAACATGGCCAGTAGTTGCCGGGGGGGGGGGGGGGGCACAAAAGACAAGCCCAAAACGTCTTCCCAGCTCATTCATCTCTGTACCACCACGACTCTTTAAATTAATAGCAATTAAAAATGCTGTTGCTGAATACATGGAATTTTCACCATCAGTGGAATGTATTATACTTCAATTGCTGCCTGAATTAGTGTTCAATTATTTTTTATACTTAAGAGCAATATCTTCATAGTAAGGATGAGAAAAACATTATTGTAACTTCACTTGGTTGTTTTGAGGAAGGGGGGAAGCTGCGTACACATGGTCTGAAAATGTCTTTAGCTTTTGTATCTGTTCCACACACCTGATCTAGATATAGAAATCCAGAAGACATTTGAAGGTGCTTGAATATTACCTGATGTATGCTAATATTACACATATTCTTCTATGCAGAAAATTCTTAGTGTTTGTGATTTTGGAATTTGCTGTGTGTATCTCTATACTACCTATATATGAATAAAAGTAAGAATCTTAAGTGTTTTGAATTATTCTGGCATATATATGGTATAATATGTTTCTGGTTGCTTCCATAGTCTTAATGTGAATCCTGGAAATATTGAAGATCTCCGGAAAACAATGGTAAGTAGCTGCTTAATATTCTGTTGTTATCTGAGAGAGCTGCTTCCTTTCTAAAGGTTTGTAGTTTTTAGTTTAAATAATCCTATTTAAGAGTGTGGTAAATATTTCATTGGTTTTACCATACTCATGAACATAAGAATTATGTTGCTGGATTAAGTCCAATATTTTGTATAGCTAGCCAGATCCATCTGTGAAGTTCACAAGCAGAGTAGTTTTTTCCTTAGCATCTAATATTTGAAAAGTTCTGTCTCTGAATATGTAAACTCTGTTTAGCTGTTTAGCTTGAATGGCTAATATTCATTAGTAAACCTAATTTGTTTTCAAAAAGCCATTTAGGGCACAATCCCATGGCTAAATAGCCATAGGACAAATCAGAGTCCCAGCTCCAACCCTGGAAATTTGCTAATAGGACAGGACCAGTTATAATGAATTTGCTTATAGGACAGGTCTAATGAGCCCTCTCATGAACCCACAAAGTCATCCAAGTTATTTATAACCCTACCTATATGCTGAAATACACTTATAGAGCTCTTTCATGTGAAGGAATAGTGGTACTCTGTGATCATATGTTGGACAGTCAACTACAGCTAGAGGGTAACAGAAATGACAGTAGAAGAGATAGAACCAGTATACTTCTCCTTTTCATGTGTTTAACATGCACAGGTCAGAAACACCAAAGTTTTTATTGGATGGCAAATCCTATTGGACCAGATGGATCTATTTTTATGCAGACATGCATAAGATCATGTATTGCATCTCACTGACTTTGAGATTTAGATTTAGAACACAGTCCTAGGTATCTCTAGACAAAAAAGTCCTACAGCTCTGGCTGTCTGAAGAATGCTGAAGTTGTGGGATTTTTTTTTCTTCCCCTGTCTATAAACGTATAGAATTGCACCCTAAAGTAGACTCACTGCAGGACTACAGCCAAAGTAAGTAATTACAAAAATAGGTAGGATCCTGTTGCCTTGGTCATGCTTGTCACTGGTTTGAGCAATTTGTTGGAAATGTTTTAATTGGGTTCTGCGCATTGTAAAAATATTATCTCACATTATGCAATGTACTTCTAATAATTGTTGCATTACATTTTTAAAGATTAATTAGTTTTACTTGCCGAAATTAAAGGTGATAAAATAATCAGTCTTTCATATTTGCCCCCAAATTAAACAATCCTATATGTTGCTTGGAGGTTTGGACCACATTTTATGCAAAATACATGCCGAGTATTGAAAGCAATGTTCTTGTATAAGTTGGTAATACAAGTATTGTAAAAATTCAGATTTACAAGATTATAAGTAGTTTGAAGTTTTAAATGATGTTCCTGCAATAAATTATTTTTTTCTTTCCTTGGAAATAGTGTTTGGTAATTAAGTGTATATGGCTTGAGTTCTCGTGGTGCCAACACCTGTCTCTGAATGAGCAGTGTTTAAACAGGAGCAGTAGCCAGTTGAAAGGGCAGCGAGAGCTCTTTAAAGCCTAATTAAGAACTGAAAGGGAGATGAAGCAAGTAGGACAAGAGATGTGAAAGTGGTTTAGATGATATTCCCAAAGCAAAGTTCCTCATTAGAACAATAAACATATGATCAAAGAATGCCAGGTTGTCATGTTATCTCTCCCTTTTTCAGTAGTTGTGACTATCAGTTTGTACCCAAATAATATTAAGCTATCAAGGCTTCTCTACATGTTTACATATTTGAAAGTTTAGCTCTTCTTCCTTGCTCCCTCTTGAATTTTGAGTATTGTAGGTATATGATTGGGTAGTGGTAGTAAAATATTTCCTACAGAGTTAGACTTGCCCTCACTTACTGAACATTTCCATTTTATTTTACTATTTCCAATATATGGTAGCTTTATCTGAAATTATGTATATGGCCTGATCGCAGATGAGCATCTTAAAGATAAAACATATGCACATCAATATGGTATATAGTATATAATTAAAATGCTGTAACTTTGCCCAGCATTTCTTTTATGTATTAGGCAACTGGATGCTTTTATTCTTAGATGCAAACAGATTTTAAAGAATCTGTCTATGTCTTTCCATTACATTAAGCTTTTGGTTATTAAAATCATTTTGTAATACTGTCAGAAAATATGTTTATATGAATATAAGACTGAACTAGCTTTGAATTATACCCCTGTGGACAGAAGTCTACTATACTGCAAATTTCTCACAATCAGATGCATTAATGAAGACATGGGCATTTTTAGTTGAAGCAATTGATAAAAACAGGTTAACTGAAATGTAAACCAGACAAAAATACTTTTTCTTTCAATTAGTGTCAAGAATTCAAACAATTAAACAGTTGACTGACTATGTTCTTTGCAGCATTTATACTGGGTTGCTAGCTCACCCTTTCTAATTAGCTTTATTCCAACTTTGCCACCTGCATATTTTAATGATGTGATAGGTGCCAAAGTATAGACAGAGATAGCTGAAGTGAAAGGGAGTGAAGCTGAATTCTTGCATATTTGATGTGGTATGCTTCCTAAATCATCAGTGTTTATCTTCCTTAATGATAGGATTCAGATGTAAACAAAAGGCATCCATTTTGTCACCTTACCCAAGTTTAAAGTTTGACTGAAAGACAAGAATCATAAGTAGTCAAATATGTCATGCCTTAACTCTTTCAGTATCTTAGTCTTTCTTTCATGGTTCTACTGTCAAACATGATATTCCTGATTTCTGACACTGGAACTGTTCATAATTTTTCTCTGTGTGATTGACCCATAAGATAACACTAATTATTAACAGCAAGTACGTGCCTTCTTTTATGGTATTTTAAACAAAAATCATATTTTGTTTCTACTCTAAGTAATTATCTAGTGTCCTAATCAGTCTCACTCTTTATTATTTATTCTGGGCTCTTAACTGGGAGAAAGTCCTATTGAGGTCAGTAGTGCTGCTTTTGAGCATACATATATAGGATTGAACTGTAAATCAACTAAATTCTTACATTTTAGAGTTCGGTGACTAATTAGAAAGGACTGCTATTTTAAATTTTATTTTAAAACTAGCTTAAAAATGAATGTGCCACTTCAGTAGCCCTCTACATCCATTTTAATAGGTCCTTATTTCCACCAACATGCTTTGTCACAATTGTAGAATATATATTGCTGTGCTTAAAATATAAATATTGCAATGCACATTAAGCAGTCTGCAAGAAGAACACAAACAGCCTGATCCATAGACTACTTAGTCCCACTGAAATCTGCTTAAATCCAAGTGCTCTGATTTTTGTATCACAGCCATGGGAGGACTAGAATGGGTAATTAGACAAACAAGGCTTAAGAAGCTACATAAATTCTTGGCTGCCTTCCTAAAGGTTGAATTGTAAAAGAGAGGCAGTTCAAACAGTAGTTTTTGGATATGCCTTGGTTACAAAATTCCGTTCTCCACATTCCCATGGTAGACAAAGCCTGGCATGTAAAGTGGTAGGGATGAGCCACCAAAATATGGAGCAAGGAAGAATGCTTTCTCTCTCCCTCAGTTATTAGATTAAGTGAGGGGTCAGATTTAGAAAGATAGATAAAACAGAAGGATGTTGGGATGGGGGTAGGTATGGCTCAGAAAGAACTGAACAGGATTTTTCAGTCACAATTTTTTCATTGCTCATTCAGCAGCTGAAGTACTTGCATGTAACTGGAATCTAGCATGTTTACAGAATCCTTTCTGTTTGTCAGAAACTGCCTAATGAATTCATTTAAAAAAAATAAAAGACTTATTATTCCTATGACTGATTGTGAAGGACAGAAGAATGTATTCATATGTATTCATCAGTTGATGACTTGCATGTGTGAAATGGTCATTACAGCAATTGAAGCTTTCACTTCATCAAAGTTCACATGAAATATAATACATCTCAAAGGAGGCAGTTACCTTATTCAGCTGCAGGTTATGGAGTGATCACTGAGAAGTATATATGTGACCTAGCCCTAACTTGCTAAGTGATATCAATATAGAAAGTGATAGATGTAGGGATATCTTAAAATAGACCCTGAATTCATTAAAAAGCAGGAGTGTGTAAGAATTATCTCACTGTTGGGAAGCAACCAAGAAATGTTTTTGAACCACATCTATTATCCGTTTTAATCGTTTTGGATTCTTTTCAAATGTAGACTGGTTCTCTTGCAGCATCTTCTGCCAGGAAAGTGGGAAATAATCCAGAGAAATGTTCACTTAATAACACTGCACTGTGGGTCCCAGATGGAGGCCTGTTTCCCTTAGATCTCAATTACAATCTGCTCCTGCTTTTGCTACAAACCAACAGTGAGAGCTTGGAAAGTTCGTGTACTGTAAATTCCACAGTATTTATATTTTGCTGCAACTTTCATTTTTACTGAAGGGATGCCAGAATTAATCAGCAAAATCATTCTAATGGTTTCAGTTTTCTGCTGGGACTATGATTGCTTTTATTTATTTCCTTTTATCTTGTTTTTCCAAAGTTATTGTCTTTCAAAGAGTCTCATATCAGTAGGCCCTGCTAACAAACTAAAAAGACAAGATAGACAAGGAAAGGAGAATAGATGGAAAGGACAGAGGAAGCAAATCAGGTCTCCAAAACCATAAGTTGGTGAGCTAGTATAAATGAGTATATCTCATTTGTGTTAAGCTGACCTTCATTTGCAGGTGTTCTTATTTTAATATTAATTGGGTCTTTCTGCATACCTAGGACCATAGGCAGTTGGAGCCAAGTGTTCTTTCAGGCTAGCAGGAAGCAGCAGGTTCCCTGTAGATACTTGCTTCCTCCCTGGTCAAAAAATGTGGCCTGGTTGGACATGCTTGGTATTTTTCTGGAGAGGAGACTTCCAGTGGCCCTGCATATGCTGACTGATGGCAGAAGTTAGACTGTGCTTCCATTTTGCTCTCCAATTCCAGGGCAGTTCTTACCTGGACTGTGAGCCAGATGGACTATGTGTAAGTAAATGCTCATAGAGAAACAAATCGCTTGAAAACTGAATTTGTTATATAACAAAAGTGCTGTTGAAAAATGAGCTGTTAGTGATGTTTTGAACTAGGATTTTATGTGTAATGGCTATATGATCCAGGAAAAGAAGTTTAATCAGCAGACCTGCATAGCACTGTCTAATCTGTTGAAACAGTATATGTTATACTAGGCATACATTTGAAATAGTTTTCTTGTGTGTTCTGGTTACAAGGGCTATGCACAACTTGAATGGAAAATCCACACACAATGGGAGAAACACATAGGGAACAGTTCTTATGTTTGCTTGCTGTTTCAAGCAGCTTTCACATGGCAAGCATCGTCCGTAAAATTAGTTTTTACTTAACAATTCATATGGTGTAAAGGAAATATACTGTAGAGAGACAGTATTACTATATCTGAATGCTTTTTTAACATTTCTTCCTACTGAGCAGTCTTAAGAATTGGACATTCTTTTACAGCAAACTTCTAACTAATTCATTAGGTCTGTGACCTGGTGAATGTTGCCCACAAGCATTATTAACATGAGAGTTGGATAGGAACAGGGCTTGATGTTTTACTGTCTGATATCCATGAATAGGATGAAGAACTTAGGTTAGACAAGCTTTTTGCTATATTTTGCAGTTTTAAAGAATTTGGCACATTATAGCTTTAAGCAAGCAATGAATCTTGAGCAGTACGATTGACTCAGTCCAGCTACAAATTATCTGAACCAGATGAGTACCAAGGTTAGTACTACTAGTGCTTTTCTTTGTTCTTTTATACTGTTTTGATGTGCGATCTACCATGGTAGAGTGAGGGAAATTTCTGTATGAGGTTTACAAGCCACACCTTGTCATCTTAGCACTGTATTAGTATTACATGCAATGCTTCAAGTTCTGTAACAATTTTTTTTAAATGTTCTTTATTCTAGGATGGAAATCCTTTTGATGTTGCTGCAGGATATCGTAACCTTACATATGAAGAGATCTTACAGGAACTAGTGAAACATAAAGAACAACTGAAGAAGAAGGATACTCATATTCGTGAACTTGAGGACTATATTGACAATCTTCTTGTCCGAGTAATGGAAGAAACTCCTAGTATTCTCCGGGTGCCATATGAACCTTCTCGACGAGCTGGCAAATTTTCCAAAAGCTAAGCCAATAACAATACTTTGTGGTATTTCTGTAATAGGATGGACTTTTTAACTGCAGCATTTTGATATCTTAATTCCCATTATCCACTCTTTTCATCCTGAGAGCATTCGATGCCAAACATTGGCCTGCAGTCTGTACATGACCTATATAATGTTAAACAAAAGTAAACTTTCCGTTGCATTAAAACATTTCTTTTTTGCTTAAGCATTTACTTGCAGGTGTATCTTGTTTTAAATATTATACTTTAGCTTGTACATGGTTGTAAAGTTACGAGCCCATACTTGAATATTTGTTTTGCACTTCAGTCAGTGTTTTGAAGCTACAGTATGCTGTCAAAGTGGATGCGCACAAGTAGGATGTATTTTGCAGCTCTGAACATGACAGAACATGTGATAATGTAAGACTTTATTGTAAACAGTTTATGACTAGGAATCACAAATGCATACTTAATAAGGAAGTGTCCTTTTGCATAAAGCTGTTGACACTATTGATTCTGGAATAAAATATGTTTGACTTGGTTACATTTGTAACTTTTTAAGGAATTTGGGCTTTTGAAATGGCAACTAGTAAGTTATTAAAATCTGTAGGAATATAGCAGGAGCTGGATCTATAAGAATATAGTATACCACTTGTATGAACATGCAAGTATACATTAAGATTGTATAAATAAAACAAAAGAGCATAATGAATTAATGCCTTATTTGATTAATGTCTGCATGTACTAGGGAAGTTAAGGCTATCAAAGACATATTCTGAAGAATTAGCATGTCAGCATATAGGTTCTTTTCTTGGCTATTCTATATTTGAAACCAGAAATGGAAATAATGTAAACTTGTTATTGATCTAGGTGATTGATTTTTAAGATAAGCTGCAGGGTTATTGTTTTTCTGTGATGAAATTAAGCAAATGTCCTCCACTTAAGAAAGATAGTTGTATTTGATTAAGCATGTCCCTAGCTAGGTAACATTTGTGTAGACTGTTCTGTTGTTGTGTGTCTGTTCAAAGTGGCAAAATGCAATTTCTAATGGAAAACACTACCATAAGGGGAATATTGTTTACTATACCAGTAATCCAAAAGTGGTAATTTTAATTTGCTTTATAAAAGACTTTAAACAGAGTGTTTACTAGTGTGAAATGCAAAATAGGCTCAGACATAAGGTAGATGGGGTGTTAAGAAGAGGGTGTTTTATTTTTGCATTTTTGTAAATCTTTCCTTGCTTGGTTAATTTGCTTTTTTAGGACAAAAGGAGGTCTTTCCTGAACAGGAGAAACTGAAGAATATGAAATAGTTTCCCATTTTTAGATGATACTTATTCAAATTGTTTTTGATTTCTTTTCTCTGTTAATGTGTCAACAATTTTGTCTTGATCAAAGCACTCTTTTCACTAGAACTGAACAGGACTGATTTGTCTTGGGAAGATGCTGGGGGGGGGGACACACTGGTATTTTAAATATCCTCAGTCATATTAAGCAAAATAGTGTGAAATGGACAGAGATCCATTTGTTTCAGTGGTCTTCATTACTACTTCTATAGTGGTTTGTTGGCTACTAATTAATGAATCTTAATATAAGGAATACTGATGCCATGTCTTAGAAGGTAGGGGTCCCCCCCCCCCCATGTATTTCGAGTATACATGTTTTTACTTTGTTCTGTCATACTTGAGTGCCAAAGGATATGTTCTAAGCTATTTTCTGTGTTTTGTCATCATATGCATTTGAAGTAGACATTTACCTTGTATAAACCAGAATGTATTTTAAAAATCCTTTGCTCATGTAAAGCTTTACAGATGTTTCACAGAACCATAGTTTAGAACTTCCTCTCATGGTATTGGAAACAACTGACCCAGTTTCAACTTCCATTATATGTGAGTTTATTGTACCTCTTCAGTAAATGTTCCTGAAGTACAACCACAGAATTCTGTACTCATGTTGTTCTAAACTTTTAATCTCTATGAATTTTCAGATTATTTTTATTAGAAACTTCATAGGAAAAATGAAACTGCTTGGATATGGAAAGTTTGACCTATGTAGGTTATAAGATTTTTAACTGATCTGCTCTGAAGCATTGTCATATGCGCTACAATCCAGTTTTTCTGTCTGAAATGTAATTAAACTCATGTATCTTTTTATTCCCAGAATCAGAAGATAAGACATGTATCATAACAAAAATAGGCATAATACAATGTTTACAACAAAAAAGCTTTATCACTTTTGTATACAAAGGATGACACAAGCTGTTTTGACTAAATATAATTTTAAATGCTGATCTTTATTCTCTGAGCACTGGACACCCTCTATGTACGCAGTCACTGAGGTCACAGGAGAGGCACAGGACAGCTTTATATGCATATCTGCTTACAGTAACACCCACCAATTCCCAGCTATAGTAGAAACAATGAGTGACCACCTGGGGCAGCAGGTTGGTTGTGCCTGTACCTCCTTGTGCAATGCAACTCTGAATACACTCTTAGTGATACCTCACTCCAGTATTAGTGGGTCCCCATATTCTGTGATTTCTTTTTAAAACATATCCAATATTCATTTTAGTATGAAATATTGTCTTCAACAATATTCCATACTTACCTGCAACAAAAAATAGTTGTTAGGTCCTAAAATTTAGGAGCTTCGAAGTTCTTTCTCCTATGTTACATACTGTTTATTTCCCCAATGGATAATATTGAAAATATATGTATTGAACACATTCCTGTATATTTTTGTTATGAAAAAATAGCATGAACAAATTACTATGAATCATACATATTTTATTATTTTTAAAATAGTACTGCCTACCAGCATAATAGCGAGTACTTTTAACAGATTATATGAAGGTCATTTTTGTGAAAGTTGCTATCATCAAAAAGAATGCTTAATATTATATCACTTTTAGCTGCTGTATTTTTTATGTTGAACTTGATTGTTGCTTCCCAATGAATGTCTAATTGTTTGTAGATTATACTTAACAACATCTAGTGTTGGCTGTAAATCAAGGGCTAGTTTTGATGTTCCAGGTATGAAAATTTTGCCTTGTATTTGTACATTTTTTGACTCAAGCATTTTAATGAGTTGTCCTTCCCCCACCCCGCTCAAGTTCTTTGTTCAATTAGTTCATTAAAAGAATTGAAGCATATATCTTAGAATATATTTACTGCTGCACTGCAATATTATTTACAGCGGTATATTTTAAAAATGTAATGTAAAAAAGGGTCTTCCCTCAAGCTCAGCCCCATGCATCCCGAACAATTGTAGTAGTGATAAAACTGAAAATGTATGCATTTCAAAATATGCTTAATGTATATCAGATTCTTTCTCTTTCAAAACAACTGAACATGGATCACAGCACTGGTAGATGAGAATGTCTGATGTAAGTTCTGTTAAGCTATTCTTTTCTATGTATTCTAAGTGCTGAATATGAAAAGCAAGATGTGCAGAAGCCTGAATTGCATTCCTAAATCCCCATTTGTGTGTGTCCAAATTGACTATAGGTATAGTTCCAAACAGTATTTCATATGCAACAGCTATTGCACTTTAATTGATTGACTTTTTTAGGGATTTTCAAACTGATTTCTGTTAAAGAAGGTACCTGTGCCTGAAGCATTGTTGTCCCTTTCTTGATCCTTCAGATTCTTTGTTCAAGGACTCTGCAGTGTTTAAAATTCATTTTGTTACAAATGGTACAACCACTTCATTCATCATAGATGGTTTCAGATTATATGTATTTGGTACCATAAAATGCCACACGTTATAGAGCTGTATAGCAAGCCTACAAAAGATACAAGCATGGCTTCAATAAACAAGGGTTCATTAGTTTTTGTGCAATGACTATCATTTGTATTTTTTGCAAGAATGGAAAGTCACAATTTATGTGGCACCTCTGTGATCAAAATGATGAAATGCATGAACTATTATTTTGGTTGCATTCATAAACTTGAACACTTTTTATTTAATCAAAATTGTAATCTTAAGTTTAGATTTATTCCCAATTGTTGCATGTCAAATACCAATAAAATGCCACTGTGCACTCCAGCTACTTGTCTTGTCATTCAAATACATGTGAAGCAACAAGATTTTAAAATGTAAATCAAGGTTTATTGTACATGATGAACATCCTATGAAAAATCCACATACGGCCATTTGCAATCATCATAATGATATGGGGGTAGTATAAATTGTAGATGACCTCTTGAAAAAAACATGTACTCTAAACATGAAAAATGGGAATAAGCTAAAATTTTAGAAGGAAAGAATAATGAAAATGCAAATCTCTTATATGAGAGATACAGAATGTATATTTCAGTATTTGGGGGTTTTTTCCCCTGCAAAGAAACTCCCCATGTTTTCCCAAGTGACCAAGCTTCAACATTCAGTTCAATGTCAAGAACCACTTTCATGGTAGAATGTGTGAGTGATGAAATTTTCCTACAGCAAATAAAGCTGGAATCCTACAGGTTGTGCCTCCAGAAGTTTCTGAACTCTGCAGCTTCCCTGTATCCAGTATTCTTTTGGTTTTACCTGCTCATCCTCAGTTGCTGGGTTTTTCCATAAATGAGCTTATTTTTGTCCATCTAACAACAGCACTTGGAAGAGAGAGGAAAGGAGGTTAGATTATTTTTATTATTTATTTATTAAAACATTTTTATGCCGCCCCATTCGCCGAAGCCTCAGGGCGACTTACAATAAATTACAATAAATATAAACATTAAAAATCCAAAAAATACAATATGAAATAAGCCGCCCTGGCCAGATAAGATCAAATAATACTAACAGTTAAAATGCCGCTTAAATAAAAAGGTCTTCGCCTGGCGCCGAAAAGCAAATAACGATGGCACCAGGCGGACCTCTCTGGGGAGCACATTCCATAACTTAGGTGCCACCGCAGAGAAAGCCCTCCTCCGAGTAGCCACCCTCCTAATTTCTTTCACGGAGGGTTCCCGGAGAAGGGCCTCTCCCGCTGATCTCAAGGGGCGGCCGGGCATATATGGATGTAAGCGCTCCTTCAGGTAACCAGGACCCAAGCCGTTTAGGGCTTTGTAGATCATCACCAACACCTTGAATTGGGCCCGGACTTCAATAGGAAGCCAGTGAAGCTGACGGAGAACTGGAGTCATGTGACCATAACGCCCAGTCCCCGTCAGCAGCCTGGCAGCTCTATTTTGAACCAACTGAAGTGTCCGGACCGTCTTCAAGGGTAGCCCCACGTAGAGCGCGTTACAGAAGTCAAGGCGGGAAGTCACCAGTGCATGTGTCACTGTCGCCAGGCAGTCGTACTCCAGGTAGGGGCGCAGCTGATGAATCAGCCGAAGCTGGAGGAAAGCGCTCCTCACCGCTGCTGTTACCTGAGCTTCCAATGAAAGCTCCGGGTCGAGGAGCACTCCCAGGCTGCGGACCTTGTCCCCAAGAGGGAGTGCAACCCCGTTCAGGACAAGGTTCAATTCACCCTCTCCGAAGCCCGATCCGCCAACCAACAGGACCTCCGTCTTGTCTGGATTGAACTTCAGTTTATTGGCCCTCATCCAGCCCATTACCTCGGCCAGGCACCGGTTCAGTACAGCCACTGCCTCACCTGGATTGGTGGAAAACGAGAGGTAGAGCTGGGTATCATCAGCGTACCGATGATTCCGCAGCCCACACCTCCTGATGACCTCTCCCAGCGGTTTCATGTAGATGTTAAACAGCAAAGGGGACAAAATGGATCCCTGCGGTACTCCATTGCATAGCTGCCATGGTGCAGAGCCATAGTCCCCCAGCACCACCTTCTGGAATCAGCCATGCTGGATAGGCTAGCGGGATTGTGGATAGGAATCAGCCATGCTGGATAGGCTAGCGGGATCTGGAATCAGCCATGCTGGATAGGCTAGCGGGATTGGGGGTCGGAGGCAGAAGCAGTGCCTCCGACCCCCAATCCCGCTAGCCTATCCAGAAGAATACCATGGTCGATGGTATCGAAAGCCGCTGAGAGGTCCAGGAGAACCAACAGGGATGCACTCCCCCTGTCCTTCTCCCTGCACAGGTCATAGTACAGGGCGACCAAGGCAGATTCAGTACCGTACCTGGGTCTGAAGCCAGACTGAAATGGGTCCAGATAATCAGTTTCATCCAAGAGTGCTTGGAGTTGTCCCGCCACCACTCGCTCTAACACCTTGCCCAGAAACGGGATGTAGGCCACAGGTCTATAGTTAGTGGCCATCTCTGGATCCAGTGACGCCTTCTTCAGGACTGGTCGGACTACTGCCTCCTTTAAAGGGGCAGGCACCCGACCCTCCCTCAGAGAAGCGTTAACCACTTCCAAGATCCAGATCCCAATCCCGTGCTTGGAATTCTTTATTAACCAAGACGGGCAAGGGTCCAATAGGCAAGTGGTGGGACGTACTTGTCCAAGCACCTTGTCCACATCATCGGGCCGCAATAACTGAAATTCATCCAATAATTCTGGACCAGACGGCAGCATTGGCATCTCCCCAGAAACCTCTGAATCAATAGTGGAATCCAGCTCGTGACGAATCTGAGCAATTTTCTCCCTGAAATGCCTGGCAAAGTCGTCACAGCGGGCCTTTGAGGGTGTAACCAGGTCTTCTTTCCGACCTGGATTAACCAGGCCATGCACCACTCGAAAAAGCTCCGCTGGACGGCATTGTGAGGAGGCAATGGAAGCGGAAAAAAAATCTCTTTTTCGCCGCCCTCACCGCCACAGCATAGGCCCGATAGTGGGCTCTCAAGTGTGTTCGGTCAGATTCATCTCGTGATTTCCTCCACCTACGCTCTAGCCGTCTCCCAACCTGCTTCATCGCCCTCAATTCAGGAGTGTACCAAGGGGAAGAGCGGGCTCTGCCTGGTGGGAGAGGACGCTTAGGAGCGATCGGGTCAACAGCCCTGGTCATCTCCCCATTCCGTAGTTCGACCAGAGCCTCGACAGGAGCACCCAACTTGTCAGCCGGAAACTCCCCCAGGGCCTTCAGGAATCCTTCCGGATCCATCCAGCTCCGGGGGCAGACCCACACAATCGGGTCCGCACCCTTACAGAGGGAGAGGTCGCTCTCGAGCACAAACCTCACCAGAAAGTGATCTGACCATGACAGGGGAGTCAAGCATAAATTCCTCACCCTCAGACCACCCTCCTCCTGCCCCATCGAGAAAACCAGGTCCAGAATGTGTCCACGTTCATGGGTCGGGCCGGCGACATGTTGAGACAGCCCCATGGCCGCCATGGAGGCCATGAAGTCCTGAGCCGCCCCGGACAGATCAGTCTCGGCATGGAGATTGAAGTCCCCCAGGACCAACATCCTGGGGGTCCTCAACACCAGGTCCGAGACGATCTCCGTCAGCTCAGGCAGGGAGACTGTTGGGCAGAAGGGTGCACAGTACACCAACAGAATCCCCAATCTGTCTCGGTCGCCCAACACCAAGTAGAAGCACTCCAGCCCTGGTCTCAAAGGGACAGGAAGTCCAGTGAGAGAGATGGAGGCTCGGTAAACCAAAGCGACCCCCCCTCCCCTCCCCTCCCCTCCGGGTGTGAGCAGTGCTGAACCAGATACCCGGGCGGGCACACTTGGGAAAGGGCCACATCCCCCCCTTCTCCCGCCCAGGTCTCTGTGATGCAAGCCAGGTCGGCCCCCTCATCCAGAATCAAGTCATGGATGAGGGAAGATTTGTTATTGACCGACCTGGCATTAAGCAGCAGCACTGTCAAGCCCGAGGGGCGGCTGACAAGACTCCCTGGTACCCTCTGGTTGGGGGCAAAACTAGAAGTAGGGACAGGTGTCAGCCATCTGTCCCTCCTTCTTCTACGAGGACACGTTAAGCCCCCTCTGCTGTAACATCCATTGCCCAAGACCATGCCAATGGCAGTGCCTGCGCACTCCCCAGGAAACACAAGCGGCGGTATGGCCAGGGACGACTGCATAAAACAGTTAAAATACAATAAAAACTTTTAAAAACAATTAAAAGGCCAATCATAAAATGGCCAAACAGAGCTCCTAGCCAGCTCGGCCCACCAAATGGCGGCAACCGCCCTTTGGCCGTCGCCCTTCGGCCGCCAGCGCTTTGAGGCCGCGGGGCGCTCCAACGCTCCGCCCCCCCTGGCCGGGGCACGCCTCTCACACGTGCGGGGCGGGTCCCGGTGCCAGGTGCGGTCGGGTGGTGTTGCTACCGGTGCGGGCGTCGCAGACGAGTGGCGGCACGGAGTCGGCGCGCTGCTGTTTCCCGCGTTCCCCTCGGCCGCCGCCGGCGCTTTGAGGCCGTGGGGCGCTCCGACGCTCCGCCTCCCCCCTGTCGGTTCAGCTTTTAACCTTAACTCTCTAGTCTCCTCTCCATCTACTGAAATGCCCATCTGACTTCAGAGGGGAGGAATCCTCTCTATCCTGTGCCCCTTCAGTTAATGCCTAGGGGCCATAGAATTGAGCATTAAAAATAATTGTGCACATTACAGTGCTCTGTATTGATGTGCCCATGTCTACAAAACTGTGCTGGATTGGAGCTTTTTAAAGGTTGTGCACAGGCTTTGGCAAGTACCTGAAAAGTATGGACTATTTCGAACAGTGACTGTTCTGTGCTGCACTGCAACATGTGTTTTAATTGCAGTCATAAGGTGGGGAATGTTGGAAGCTCATCTTTAGCTTACACCACAGCTAGCCAGATTTCAGTCCTGTGAGATTTACTTTGTTTTAACAAGAGCCTTGACATCAGTCAGGTGCAAAATATTTAAAGACTCAGAATTAAAATTATAAGCACAGAAAATTATTTCAAATAACAGAACTGAAACTTGTAGCCCATTCTCTCATAGATCTATTCTTAGCCTTCCCCCTCCACCATATACTCAAGCTTTCTTGATTTCAGCCATCTAGGTAATGGGGAGGCATTTCCTTGACTCTAGCTGAAATGGTAGGAGTCAGAAATTCATTGCAATTATGTCCAGTCGTTTGGATTTACGAGTAAATCCCAAGCTACTCCTTATCCAATGCTGGTTTTGTCATACTTCCAGTTATCCCTACATCAAGATTGTAGTCCTTTGCCTAAAATGTTAGTCCTAA